ATTTACAAGAAAAGTGAACTCGTGTAAGATGATACGGCGAGGAAAGATCACTATTTCAAAATATTCTCGACAGAATATTATAAAAACACGCGATTTCAAGGAATTTCTTTGTAAAAAATCGACGAGTCACCCAATCTGCGTGGCTATCATACACAGTATTTTCTTTACAATCGTTGAGCCTCCACTGTCCACTGGCGGAACCTTCCCGCACAACAATATTCTTCCCTCCTGCATCTCGAGAAAGAAAGAGAGAAGCGATCGACCATCGACAAAGTTTCGTCAAGTACCTAAGCACGATCGGAATCGCACAAAAATCCCTTGTAAAACCGGCCGAACCTGCTCACAAAGCCTCGCGAAAAAGAAGTTTCACGAAACGAATCGCAATAGGAACGAGCAAAGTCCCTTCTCTCTCTTTCTCGCGTCATCGTCCTTTTGTGGAAGGCGGCTCTTTTCAAAAATATGAGAGAATTTGTCGATGCGAGGTGGTGGTGGACGAAGTTTCGAGAGGCACAAAAGATTAGTGCCCGTTAGTACGTGTTACGGCACTGGTCTCGAGACTCGGCCAGTACAGGAGGCAACGCGCACAAAGAGAGGGGGCCCCGATTTTCCCCCTTTCCGTCTCTCTGCCTCCCTCCTCCCTGAGTATTCTTTCATTCCCTCGGTCGCTCCTTAGGCACAGGCGAACCTGAAGCAACAGGTTCCTACGCCCCTTCTTCGTGGCTCGCGTTTACCGAGCGGCTTTTTGTTGCCGCTGCCGGTACTGGTTGGGCACGTTGCTTGCTCGGGGCGAGGTTTCCACTTTTAGAAAAGTTCAGAGGATTGCATTGGCGCTCGCGAGCACGCATCTCTATCTTTCGGAGAGAGAGAGAGAGAGAGAGAGAGAGAGAGAGAGAGAGAGAGAACATATCGAAAGATATCGGACGAATAAACTTCATTCATTTTACGAAAATCAACTTGTCGAATCCGCGAGTGTCAAGCATGAAAACTTGAGTTTTTCGCAATTTTACATCTGTGTTACATCGGTCCTGTCCTCGTTGAGACTTCCGTGTTTGTCAAATTGCGTGAGGAACAACTTCGATTTTAACTGCGCCCACGGACGTCGAATATCGAGAGTCGAAAGTCCACCCGATCGGACGAGTTTCGAAATCGAGCCGAGGAGAAATTGCCGAGGAAAGTCACGACGCGATTATCGTCCGAAAGGAAGAAAAAAGAGGCGTGTTCGCGCTGAGTGTAGTGTGAATCGCGCGACTGAGAGGAAAAAGAAGCTGCGAATATCAATGTTCGCGAAATTTACTCACTGTAAGCCTACGGTGTGACAAAGACGCGATGCTCCTCGGTGTCGATGCGAATCGACGAATTCCCCAAACTGCACACGTGTGTAAGAACGTGTTGCGTGCTGACGATCGCATTTTTATTGTCGTGTGTTTGTCACATTGCGATTCAGGTTGATTGTAGGCGTACGAACGGCATACTATCTTAACAATTAAGACCATTAACGCCCGTGTCTACTATTTCCGATCAAATCTTAATTTGAGTTTAAACTTTATTCAGACAAAGATAAACTCAGGTTGAAGCATTTAATTGATCTTGAAAAACGTGCATATGTTGTGAGAGACCAATATCCGTTTCCACCAACGTCGATCAAACCTTAATTTGAGTTTAAATCTTATTCAGACAAATATTTAAACTCAGGTTAAGCTTTAATCGACATTGGTGAAACTTGCATGAGAGGCGGAGAGATATATCGGTGCGGAAGGCTGGGTAGTGAGTAGGATGGAGTAACAGTCGTCCAGCAAGCAAAAGGATCCGGGTTTTCTCAGCAATCTTGCAGTACTCCCGATACATTTTCTCTCTGATTCTTACTAATCATAAATTAATCAACCGAAGTTACTAAATGCTTTCTCAACCCACCGAGTTGAAATATATTTTATGGTTCTGATGAGGTTGATCTCAATCGGTGGTTCGTACAAGGTGATGTTATCGGGCTTTAATTATTAATAACCTTCGTTATTAATAGGCTTCCCTGATTGCCATGCTGCGTTGTGACTTATGAGGTCTCGATAACATCGCCTTATACAAACTAAATAACTGGTTGGAATCACTCTGATCACACAAACACACACAGGAATTGGGGTAAACTTCTCTCTGAGCTCGTTCCGCCATCTTTTGGCACGAAGATCATTTTCGACGATAGCATTCTCTCTTCCTACCTAACGTTAGTTAAGAAACAGAAGGAGACAAAGTTACTGCACGGAAAAAAGGTTTGGTTGAATTAACCAAATATCTGGTCGAATATGAACGATCCAGAAATTCCGATTGAAGTAACCCGAATTCCGTTTAAGTCAACCAAAAATCTTATTAACTTAAACAGAATTCGGGTTATTTCAATTGGAATTTCTGGATCGTTCATATTCGATCAGATATTTGGTTAATTCAACCAAATCCTTTTTTCCGTGTGGAAAAAGCAATTTTTGTTGGATTAAACAAATATCTGGTAAAATATGAATGAGTCACAGAGTTTAAATTATCAGAATTCTGTTAACCAAACAACCTGTAACTGTTCGAATTGAAGTTCTGCTTGACCAAAAATCTTGTTCGGTTAATCAGAATCTCGTTAACTTGGGCAGAATTCCGGTAACTTCAGCCAGAATTCCCTCTGGTGTGTTCGTTCATACTTCATCAGACCAATTTTAATCCAACCAGATTATTTTCTCCGTGCGAGTTTGTGCATTTTCACTCAGTCAGAATATTGCGTCGCCACGCGCGACACTTCGTTACTTCTCAGAGAAGTTGTTCTTTTTCTTAAATATTCTCCACCGTCTCTCTCTCTTAGAACTCGCTTAACCGCGCGCCAGCTACGAACGCACGATAATAAGACGGGAAATGACAAGTGAACCGCCTCGCAGTGGAAGACTCATACCGGAAGTCATATGATACACACACGCGCACGCTCGCGCGACGCATAATTATGATGAAGACGGAGACGCGTAGTGACATGTGTGGGCGCGCACGCACACACTCTGAAAAAAACAACGTGCGTGGTTTACGTGCTGGTACTGTCGCGAATCCGAAAATCTGTTCGTTCTTTCCGTCCGGCGTGCTCACTCGTGACACGCGAGAGAATCTCACACTCGCCGGAACGTCTTATTGACCACGAGAAAAATTTGTCGGATCGATTTGTCACTCTCGAGATTAAGAGTTCGCACAAAATGCGCGTGCGAGCGATCGGACGATCGATCGATCGATTTCTCGAATGCTTATTATTACGCGTTGTAAGACGAATAAAAGAACGAGCGCCGAAGCGTCGACGTGTCGTCGTCGTCGCCGTTGTAGTCCGCTTAGAACTCTCCATCAATGTCAGCCACGACGACGATAACCATAGGCGATATATCGCGCCGTCCACACACGTAGGAAAAAAAGGTGGTTTCGCAATACCTCTGGGTGAAGCAACCTCCGTATCCTTGTATTATTCGCCGTAATGGACGAAGGATAAGCAACGGATGAAAATGATGTTTACAGAGAGATCGCAATCGCTCCTTTCGCAATGTACGCTGTTATTCCCGATAATTGAATATTAAGTGACACGTGTATGCACGAAACACGGTTTGAGGATCGTTATACACTCAGTTATTTGCTGTAGATATGCAGGAATGATTCAAGCCACATGAGGTTCGTTTCGAGAAAAATGACGACGAAAAGTTGGAGTATTACTTAAAAAGTGCAGATAGCACTGAAGTTCTTTGCAATTACTCGAGAAGTCAAGCATGGTGAACTTTCTTCTTTTTAAGAGAAGGGTATTCATTGACAAGCTTAACTCTTAAAAAGATTAATAAAGAAGATGCAATTAGTAAAAAATAAAAAATGTTTTTAATTAATCTTAGATTATAAGACTCATAAGATTTGGATTTTTCTTATTTTATGTAGAAACATAAACTACTCACTAGTAGTACAAAAGAAAAAAGAACTGAAAAATCATAATTTTGTGGATTGGATCATTCTTGCTTAATTATGGCGTTTCACCTCTATGTGAAACGTGTTTTTATATATTTATATGTCAAATCTACTTTCTTATTCGACTAATGATTTTCTTGACTTGCGCGACATAAATTCGCGTTCGAATGAAATTTCTTTAAATTTGTCTTTCGTTCTTTCGTTGCACGTAAATGATATATTTTGATACTCAATTGTGTATCTGTAAAGAGCACATTTTTGTGCTCGAAAAGGTTAGATAAAATTGTAGCATTCAGTCATTAACATTAAGTAAACACAATATAATAGAAGATAGACAATCTGGTAGTCATGATCTCTCGATAAGTGCTGATTTATAACAAAATAATGACGAGAGAAATTCACAATAATAATAATGCCGTATAAATGTACAAAATCCACATGTGCGGTGACTCGTGGTACAAGTTATATACAATATGATAGTATAGCAAACGACCGGGCCTTTGCTTGGAGGTCGCGGCAAAAGGCGTAAGTAAATACGCAAAAGCACGTTGCAGACACGTGAGAATGGTTCGCCCCATCGCGGTTCGGTCCGTTCGGAACTCGAAAATAAATAAAAGATCGGAAACGATCTCGACCCGGCGTGTACGACACAAAGATCCAGATTTCTAATGTAAATAGTAACTTTATCTGACGATCTAACAATATAATATCCATATTCTCAAAATTATTCGTAAAATTCCATCTGTTTTGCATCGACATTGGTACACTCTCACCTGAAATTTATATGATGAGCAATCAAAGTACTTGCATACATTTTGGAATCGACTTAAAGAGAAAGAAGAAATTATTATCGCGGTACTTCTTTTCCATCGCGATACATTATTGTTTGTGACAATATATCAAACAGTACATTGTAGTAACATTTTTCATTTTGTTGCAAAAGAATCGACTAAACGAATACTTTCCTTCTCACTCGTCGTATATATTTCGGCTTCTGACCGTCTTCAAATGTTTCAGATGACACGCAAATAAATATTGAGAATACCTACGAGTAGAAGGAGTCGTTGGAGAGAAATGTCGCCGCGTAAATTGACACGATTTGTTAGAAATTTACCGTATGTTACACGATCGGGATTATACACGAGAAGACCACTTATTTCGACTTATGTTAAAAATAGCCGTCGTGTTCTCAGACTGACGTAACCATGTTTACACAACTCAAATTGTTCATCAACAACAGTTTGTTCAACACTGTCACTCAACAAAAGATCAACTGCAATGTCACGAAATTGTCAATTAAGAATTCTGGAAACGAGAACGTCCGTAAGTAGTCGCTTATTTTCTTCATAGCAATGTCGGGGACAGATGAATGTCGTCATTCGAAGGTTGCGAGCGTACTGAACGCTAGCGGGCAAATAATGAGAGCGTCTTTCTTCTCTCTCTTTCTCTGTATTGGCGCCCTCGGCTTCTTCCTTGAGAGAAACCGAAGACGCCGGGCAGGCGTCTTTCGGCAGTGAAAGTGTCAATGTCTTTTCGCGCTCGTATCTGTTAAACGTCGGAGTTTCTCCGCTAAATATTCGTGTTCCATTACCGTATCGATGGGGAATTGTCGGTGTGAGGTTTAATGAAGACGAGTTTTTTGTCTCTGTCACGTGGCACGACGACGGACGGCAACGGAGCGGCACAGCGAGAGCGCGAGCGGGAGAGAATGCGTTTGTTAATCCAACACACGCATCGACGACGCACACATGCTCGCGCGCGAGCGTGTGTGCGAGCGCAAGTGGTACCACCAAGTACCAGCGCGATTCCGCTGGTCGGCGAGAAGAGCGCGCGGATTCTCGCGCTGAGCCGCGCCTCTTCGTGGGGGGAATCCAAGACGAAAAAACGATACCGCCAAAAGCGAAAGCACGATCGTAATCGGCAAAAATCGCTTCGTCTCAGTCGTCTCAATCGCGCGGAAGATGGACGTTTTAGGACTCCGTACCAGACACCGACCTTTTCGTCTCTCTGATAACATCTCAAATAGGAGGAAATATCCAGCAATAATCGGTATTCAAGACATCCCTGATAAAAATGATGCCAAATAACACTTTACTTAAATCTTTTTGCACAAAGAAGAGTTTATTCTGAACTCCTCAGAACGAAAAGAGAAGAAGTATTGTTAGATCCTTGATATTCTTACTCTTTTATTTCCATCAAGGATTGTCGAGATTTAAAACGCATGAGGATATCAAAGAAAACGAAGAAATAAATACATAATAATTGAAAAATAATTAATATATAATTAATAAATTGCCGTACATCTTGATATTTAATGGCATCCGAGCAAAAGTGTCGAAAGCTGATAGGAGCTGTAACGAGCGCCGGCTGCTGGACATTTTCCCCTACATTGTACGCAAAAAAAAGTTTGTTTGGATTAACTAAATGTCTGAACGAAACATGTCTGAATGAAACATGAATGAATCAGAAATCTGATCGAAATCACTAGTATTCGAGTTAACTTGAATTGCGCGAATTTTGGATAACCAGAATTCCGTTAACTCGAACAGAATTCTGGTGACTTCAGTCGGAATTTCTGGCTTGTTTATACTTCAGCAGACATTCGGTTAATCCGAACAAACTTGTTTTCTCAATTTTTGTTTTTTACATGTAACGTAACGTAACAATTCGAATTAATATGTTAAACCTTTGTTTCTGTATTTCATTATATGCAAGTCACCGAGTTGTTATTCCCGAGAAAGCGAAATACGACAACACGACGACGTTTGAGAAACCTTGGGAAACTAAATGGCGTGCGTCAATAAATAATTGTATAAGTGGATCGCGAGTTAAGAGAGCGGAGGAATCGCGATGGCCTATCGTTAATTTGCTGAATACAACGGAGCCGAATCACGTGTTGAATTGAATTGTGACTTATGGGATCCTTAATCGAAAAGCGGAGATTCGGCGCGGTGCCTTCCGCTCAAGACACATTTCCTTTCGGCAGCAGAGCGAATTAAAAAATTGACCGCTCTCCGTACACACTAATACGCGTTGCGCTCTCCGCTCGACTTTACAGTTCAGGTGCAAAAGATAGGAATCGAATTTCGCTGTGCCGCCAGGTGAGCGCGTTGCGTAACGTCAATTAAAAGCATTAAAAGTAAAGAAACAACAGTATCTCTCGGCATATTAATAGACGATGATATTAACATCACACGGACATACCGACGTCTGATTGGTATTCGTGACTCAGCGGGACTCAGCAGCGTGGAAACAAAATGCAATATCTATCGACGCATATCGCGACTGGAATATCTGTCGGAAATATACAAGTATCTTTAATCGTGCCGCCATTAGTAAAGTCCACGCGGGCGAATCCCCCCGTTTGCCGCTCGGGTTGTCCGGCGACACGGCCGATATCGGAGCGTCAACAGCAAATAACATCGATATCACGTTCGTTTCCTCTCGGATCCACGTCGTCGTGAGAGACTCGACGAGAGAGAGAGAGAGAGAGAGAGAGAGAGAGAGAGAGAGAGAGAGAGAGACTCGGCCGGGGAGACTAGTCCGCGTCACACAGAGAAACTCGCGTCGGAGGAGAAACCAAAGAGAGTGTTGTGCCTCTTGCTTCTCTCTCTCTGAGGTGAGAGTCTCCCCTAGCTCGACTGCCTTTTATTTACGTCGCGCGCGACGTTCCCGCGCGACCGTCCGCGTCCCAGTGATAAAGGTCTTTCGCGACTTATCGATGCAAAACGGCGAACAAGCCGCCGCTGACTGACAACGATTACCAACCACGGTACGACCGAGGGGCGGTTTTTACTATTGAGAAGTACGGCGTCATTAACGCGCGAGTCCATTCCTCTGCGAGCTCATCCAAATCGAAATTTGCCTACGTGATCGACAACGAATCCCGGATGGACGGAGATTTACGCAAGTTCTCTTTGTAAAGTTACACTGATCAGAAGTGTTTTTTTTATTCTTCTTTTTCTGCTTTTATGTATATCGCTTACGCACACTGATAGATTGGCAATGAGTTCATAAGCATTCGCTTTAATCAGTCGCGATCAGAGCGATTGAGAAAACACTTCAGTCAATGAGGATGGCAAAGGTTTCGAAAATATCTCTATGTCGTATCGTAATGCTTTGCATGTGTGTGTATGTATGTGACTCGAGATATAGATAACTGGCACTGTATAATCGGCCAAAAATGTCGATGTTTCGAAAGATTATGTATATCTTGGGAGATATGAGGAGGATAATGATAATCATTGTAATAAACGAGGAATTTAACATAGTAATTTCGACAGAATACGATCAGAATTTGTTATCTGTGCTGAGTGTGTAAAGTGACAATTTAAAAGCGACAATATTAGTTGACCTCCACTCTATATTTGAATTTTTCAAGCCAATGTTAACAATTCTTCTCTCTCTTCCTCGATAAAGGAAGAAAGAAAGGAAGAAAGAATTACTATGTTTATGCATGCGTGTGACTTATATTTTCAGTATGCACAGGCAATCTGGATGAAATCTACAGATTACCGATTCTTTATCGTTATTATCAAAGTGTTTCGATATCTTGTCTTGACTAGCGAGATTAAGTTAAACGTTAAACGATGATTGATAGAAAAGCGACAATCATCAATGACGAATACGGTCGCAAGAAAAACGATAAGTGAGCCGTCCATGAATATCGACGAGAAAAGTCTGCTATCGACGAGCAGCGCGATCTAACGCGTCGATATAACACGTGTGCGCCGCGCGTAACGTTGCTGGGAAAATGTGGGAGCGTTTGTCAGATAGCAATATTTTTGCATGGCACTTCGCGTTACGAACTCGCCGTTCGTAAATTCGTCGCGCGCGCGCGCGTGCAACTTCACGATTCCGCGTCCTCGGAAACATCGCGAACGAGGCTAGTGTGGAAATAAGATCCAAATCTGGCCGGTGTGGAATCCGTCCCGGGACGATAACATCAGGAATTGTTAATGTCGCGCCGGCGACGCCTGCGTCGGTGACGTTGATACTTTTTTTACTCGATCATATCTCGTAAATAATTCATGGGAACGCGCGATCGTTGCGTGTAGGTTCGGTCTCGGTGAAGCGCGTTTCGTGAAACATAACAGAGGAAATAAACGCGGGGATATCTCGCAATTTCGGGCGGCCGTGTGTATGTATGTGTGTGTATGTATACGTGCGTGTGTACGTGCCTGCGTGCGCGCGCACGTCGTGATGTCAATGTCGCGGATTGCGAGAAATATCTTGCTGTTAATTAGCACTCCGCCATTATGGCGCGCACGCTTCGTACACGCGTGTCGCTCCGCCCGTGCCGTTCTCTCGCCGCTCTTGAGCGGCTCTCTACGTAAACACTTAACACGGTGACTCGACTCACAATGACTCCAGCCGAATTTCGGAGATAACAGGACCGCACGCTCATTCCCGCTCATAGCCAGAAGCAACCAAAGCGCTCAAGGCGCTCGACGAGAATACATCACGAACATAATTCGATGAATTTAGAGCAATCGAGTGATTCGGCACAACGCTACGTACAAGCGTGCACCGGTTTGGTTAATCTGGAAACTCGGCGACGTCGCGAGGAAAGCTAAAAAAATCACACCGAAATTCGCGAGACTTTGGTTTATATTTTGAACTCTTTTATGGCTAAAGGCTCTAATAAACTGGCTTATGGCCAATCAAAAGGCTTATAAAAGGCATTTTTACGCTTTTAAACCTGATCTACAATATGCTCTTCGCTTCTTATTTCTTATTCATTATTTTCTTCTAACTACAAGATCAAGATTTAAATCAGAAAGAGATATACAGAAAGAAACATAAAGCAAAGAGCACATTGTACATAAAATTTTAAGCTTGATCTATAGTGCTTTTTGCTTTCTGCTTCTTCCTCTCTATCTCTTTCTAATACTTATTCCTTGGGCCAGAAAAAGATAGAGAACAAAAAACAAAGGAAGCGGTGCGCACATTATAGATTAAGCTTTAGAGGTGCTTTTAGCGCCAAAAAGGAGTCCAGAATACGGGCTTGTATCGCGTATGTCCGAGTATCGCGATACTACGTCTTCGCATCGTCCCGCCCATCGTATGCTCTGCACATTATTCCGAGCTTAGGCTCGTCATTTGATACAATTCACTCGTCGAGCGCTCTCAGTCCAAACAATTAAGGCGCGGCAGTGAGTGACGACGATAAGTGACACTTGAATGAAATCTAAACAGAATCGTGTACACGACGATAATACGTGCGCCGAATGCGGACCAGAGCGGTCGAATCGAGACAAATCGTGACTTGGAATCATCGCGACGAGGCTTACCTTAAACAAATGTTCGGTGCAGTCGAACATGGCGTTGCTCATGACGGCAGTCGACATCTCGTCGGTTTCGCACACAAAAACACACCGTGTATCCGAAACGTCTCGTCCGTTCCTCCTCTTCCTCTCTCTTCTGTTCTCTCTCTTTCTTTCTCTTCCGCGCGTTTTTTTCTTCTCTCTCTCTCTCTCTCTCTCTCTCTCTCTCTCTCTCTCTCTCTCTCGACTCGTACCTCTTTCGTTTCTGACAGCGGGGCTTCTGGAGAAAGTAGCAGCGAATAGCAGCAGTGTCGAGAATCGTCGAAAGTGTTGTCAACACGTGGACCCGTGGACTGTGCCGAAAGAACTCTCCTCAGGAGAACACAAAAGAACTGCCACTCCGACCGTACGCGTCGCTATACGCCGTCGTTGTAGCTTGCATTAGAAGCACCCACGCGTGAAACGGTACGCGCGTATCCCGTGTCGGAACGTTGTTAAAAAAAAAAAGCCAAAATGTTGTACGGGCCGAGGGGCGCGCGGAGTGTAAGAAAAGTGGAAGATCAGCGCGAATCGAGCGAGAGCGAGCGAGCGAGCGCTTGAACGAACGTGTGGCTCCACTGCAGCCGCCTAGTATGGATCCTCCGTGTATCGACTTCACGGATGGATCACGATCTTCCTCGCAATGCTGCTGCTGCGTCGTCGTTGTCGTCGTCGCCGGCTTCGGTGCCGCGAGCGGGGCGCGTTACGAACTTGAACTTGGCACTTTCGTTCGCCGATTCCGTCGATCGCGGTCACCAGTCTCTCTCTCTCTTTCTCTGTTTCGTAGAGGTAAACGTTGAGGCCTCTTACGTGTTTCTCTCCTTTCTTTCTCTTCCTCTTACTTGTCGCGCGCAGAGGTTATATTGCCCGCAGAACCTCCGAATGCGAACTGAACGGTGCGCGCCGAGACTTCTGGCCGATACAAGGAGTCGACGTGCGGGCGCGCTAGGAGGCACCGTCGCAACAGCCAATCGCGGGACGCCCGATAGGGAGAGAAAGAGGGGGAACCCGGCGTTAACTTGGCAACCACGCGCGACTCACCAGACCAATCCTGGAACACGCTCTCTTCGACGCACCGGCTCCATCGTCGTTCTCTCATCGGGAGCGGACGTCTATACTTCTTGTCGACTCGCAGCTTTAACAATTCGTAGGTGCTCCGATTGGACTGAGATTGGGGTGGTCACGGATTTGCGTCCCTCTGTCGTGGCTCACAACACCGGTCAGACATCAGATTGAGCGTGGAGAAGCGGCGACTGCCGATGTCTGGCGACTGCCATTGTTATCGGTATCACACTTTATGATTCGTTACCCTAATTGCATTCCGATCCGTCCTTTTTCTCATCAGGAAAATCTTATCGACAGTTTATATAGCTCCCGTTATGTGCACTATGAATTTTCGGTCAAACTTCTCTCGAAAGTGACGTTTTGGAATGCAATCCAAGATTGTAGATATCTCCTCACCGCGCATTCGCGATATATTCGTCCGCACACGAATTCCGCGTCTTCCGACAGGTAGGAAGAACGCGACGAATGCGAGCCAAATGGCGGAACAATCGCGAAGCGACGTGAAGTTGCCGAGCAGTCGGGCGGTTTATCGTGTTTATTGAATCGTAACGAACGGAGGCGACCCGTTAATCACCTTTTCGCGGCATCGTTTATGTCAATATGTCCGAATGCTAAACTGTTCCTCGAGTATCTCGCGTATATTAGACTGCGCAATCTTTGCAGGTAAACAGATCGTGGCGGTTGGCGCGCTCGGTGCGCGGAGCGTCGTGCAGCACCGAGAGTATCGATATTTCGGGAATCGCAACCATTACCCGTAGCCGTGATTTCTTACGTAGCGGAGATTGTAGCGCCGCAGTGCGTACGTGGGAAGTAGCTCGTATCGGCCGCTCGCGCCAAAAGTGAGTTTGGCGCGCAAACTCTGCTAACTGCTGACGCGGGGAATGCCGAGAGCAGCAACGACAACTTGATCGAAGGTAATCACGTATATAAACAGTAGAAAGAAAACAGACTTGTCAATACGCGGGAAAACAAGCGTCGCTTTCAAGCACTCGCTTTCAAAGTGCGGGGTCACAATTACGATCGCTGCTATTAAGCAGTGACTTAACCAAGCAACCTAACCAAGCAAGACAGAGAGAAGAATAGATGTACGGTCGTGGATAAAATACCTCGTTCTATATGTGAATTTCGGGATATATTCCGTTTGTCCAATGAAAGAATCTTGTCCACGATCGTGGTACACGTTGCAGTGCATAATGTAGAAGTAACATTTCAAAATATCCTGATAGCACTGCTATTGAAATCAGTGAACTTTATCATTAGATATGTCGATTAGTTTTATCAGTATTTCTTCTGAGTACATATACGTTTACTTTGATGGATACATAATTTGTTACTTGATCCAATAGCAATCGTTCGATCGAAGGAATGCTTTTGAGGCTAACCTGTTGCACCCGCGGATAGACCTGTAATTTATACATATAGCTTCCATATGTGTATAATTATCAATAATTGTGATAATTCTATATAATTATTAACAACTCTTCCGTATATCTTCGTTGCGCATCTCGAAGATATATATCGCATACCTCGCAAAAACCGTCACTTGAGAATTTTGCCGTAAAGAATTCTCGGTGAGTCGATATATATATATATATATATATATATATATATATATATATATATATATATATATATATACAC